GCCTTCACACCAAGTAGGCCCCATTGGCTCATCAATGCCCACCTGGGCATCTGTATCCTTAAGAGCTATTCACAGCCTCCAACCTCCCCTACAACCATGCCCATACCTCAGAGGTGTTACTGTACCATCACTCCCTTGTCAGGACCTCAGCCTTCATGGTCTCCACCCCTTTTCTCTAGCTGGGCCTGTTAACCCAGGCCCACTGTGCTGAACCTGGCTTCTGGGCTCCAGCTCTTGTCTCACGACTTTGGTCCTGGGTCCCCTGGCCCTTTCTCCAACCTGCCTTGGGCAATGAACCTGCTTTGGCTCTGTCTGGGCCCTGCATTGAGCAATGAGCCTACTTTCGCTCTGTCTGGGCCCTTGGCTCCTACTTGCTTTCAGCTCATGTGAAGCTATCATCTCTCTCTAGGCTGTAGCCTGCCTTTGGGCTCAAACCCATTGGCAGCAGAAGTGGGGGCTAACGGGGTTTATCCCCCGCCTCATGCAGGGCAGTGGTAGGGCAGCAAGGCAGCCCAGCCACGGGATTTTGGTGGCTGCAGCAGGGGTGGGGAGGGGTGTGTGCACAGTGGTGAGGGAGGAAGTGGGGCTGGGGCTGGGGAGGGGCAGGTGCTGACAGCCATGGTGGAGCAGGGTGTGGGAATGAGCCACGAGTGGCTCATTTGGGAGGGCATGGGTCCTGCTGCTATGCACACCCCAGGAGACCTGGTGGGGGTGTGCCCCCGGATCTGCACAGGGCAAGGCAGAATGCTGCTGCAGGCTGGGGCTGGGATTGTGCTGGGCTCTTCCCAGCAGGCGGGGGGGGAGGGGTGGGCAGGGGCATCACTGGGAGGGGGGTTATTAGGGGGGGCTGCTGCCACCACAAAATCCACCGTAGCCCCCTGACCCCCCTTTCCCAGTGCTGCCATTGTCCACCCTGAGCACAGCCTGGCCCAGCCCCTGCCAGGAGGGCCATAGTGTTGCCCTGGCCCCAGCCCACAGCAGCAGCCCACCCTGCCCCACATGCCTGCCCCACCCTGGGATCAAGTGCCACATGCCCCCCCATGTAATCCCAGGGTGTGTGCAGTGGTGAGAACCACCACCTCCTCCCCACGCTCCCCAGACAAGCTGCTTATGGCTCCATCCCATGCCCTATCCCTGTTGTGCAAGGTTTTCCCTAGTCCCAGCCCCACTCCCTCCCCACTGCATGGCTCTTTCCCCTCCCCCCACAGACTTATTTGCTGGGAGGGGGTGTACGTACACGTACACACACACTCAGCCCCACCAAATAATTTTTTATCCCTCTATCTATGCTCAAGCCTACTCTATGTACTGGGCCCCCCAGCCCTTGGTAGGTTCAAGACACTCTCTTGCCATCAGGCACTATTGTGACTTCCATAACACTCCTAATATTCCTAAACCCAAACTGCCAGTATGAACTGCAACAAAGGAATAAGTACATTAGCTATAACAGAAAATAAACCCACACAGAGTCCCAGATATCAACAGCAGCTTACTGTCAGAGTAGCCATACCTCCCCCTTGCCCTGGGTTATATCCCCCTGATAACAAGTAGGGCTGTGCGTAGCTTCGGTAGCTGATTCAATTCGGAGATTCAGCCTGATCTGGGGATTGGATCTCCAAATCTGAATAGAATCAGGAGACCAAGTAAAAGCTCTGAATCAATTCAAGGCATCTGAATCAATTCAGAAAAGATTCGACTGATTTGGAGATTTGGCTATAGACTAAACATGCAGCTCACAGCTGCCTTCAGCTGGTAAATCTGTTGGGGTTGGGGGAGGGAGAAGGGAAGGAGCACGGGGGTGGGAGGAATTAGGCAGCTTGTCCCAGCCCCATCCCCAGCTGGGGGGGGGAGGGCGGGCATGTTACTTGGGGAGGGGGGCACAGGAGGAAGGGATGTGGGTGCGGCAGCCCTGGGAGCAGGGGCTACGCCCTGCTGCCACCTGGAGTGAGCCACGCCTGCATTGCGTCCCCTCCCACGCTGGCTGGGCAAGCAGCAGGAGGGCATAGCCCCCCAAGCTCCCCCCAGACTGGCACAGGCCAGGGAGCCATGGGAAAAGCCCCCATGGCTGCCCTGCATGGCCCCATCCCCCACCCAGCCTAGCTTCCTACCACTGTAAAAAAAGAAAAAAAAAGAAAAAAGCTCCACACTCACTGGCTCTGGCATCAGCAATCAGGGGCCTCTAAGGGCTCGTGGCAGAGTTCCCTTGTGCAGCGCAGAGGAGTGGGGGGCAGCGGAGATCGCCCCCCCCAGCACCCGTGCAGCAGCTGGCCCATGGCGTGGGTGTGGTGTGGCTCAGCAGGACACTGCACACTGTCTGGGAGCTGGGGCAGCTCCAGCAGTCACCCAGGGCCTGGCAGCACTCAGCCCCAGTGGCCCCAGCTCCCAGACAGCATGCAGTGCCCTGCTGAGCTGTGCTGCACCTACACAATGGGGAAGCTGCCACATGGGTGCCAAGTGGGGGGGTAGAATTGGCAATCCCTGCTGCCTCCCATTGCCCTGGGCTGTGAGGGATGGCTCTGCAATGAGCCTTCAGAAGCCCCAATTGCTGCTCTTGCAGCTGGTGAGTATGGGGCTTTTTTTTTTTTTAAGTGCTGGGACTACCCTGGGGCTGGGTGGGGGATGGGGCCGGGTGGGGCAGCCATCAGGGCTTCTTCCATGGCTCCCCCTGCCCAGGGAGAGGCAGGCAGAGCTGGAGGAGCCACCTGGCTGTGCCTGCTTTTCCCAGGCTGATCCGAAGCACTGAATTTCTCCAAATCAGCGCCAAATCTTCTGAAGCTGATTTGGCTGAATTGATTCAGGACAGTGATCTGAATCTCCAAATTGAATCACTGTCCTCTGAATTATCCAAACCCAAATTGAATACCTCCCTATTCATACAGGTCTAATAACAAGCCTTCAGTGCCTTACTTGCATACTTAGGGGAACCCAGGAGTCAGCAGAGCCTCTTCTTGCAGTCTGCAGCCAGGAGCTCTGCACTCTGCAGCTTGCTAGGCCAGACTGCCTGACTTGAGCTCAGGCCCTAGGCTTATATGCAGCCTATGCCCTGCCTCTTTTGGTCAGGTGGTGCTCTGGCTGAGCAGGAGTTTCTCATTAGGGCCCAAATGCCAGTTATTATGACCACTGCTCTAGCAGCATCCCTTCTGCACAAGCCCTTACTAGGTTATTTCCTTAGCTGCCTGTTCTTTTGCAGCCAACTCCCCCCAATAGGGTTGCCAACTCTGACTGAAGCTATTCCAGGAGATTTTTTTCCCCCAACATGACGTAATGTCATTAATAGGGGTGCACTGATAGAGATTTTTTGGGCTGATACTGATGGCTGATTTTTAACAAGCCATATCAACCAATACTGATCCAATGCTGATATGCAGCTGGGTAGCTTAGAAAGCAGCTGGTAAGTCTGTTGTGGAAGAAGGGACAATGGGGGAGGGAAGGAGTGTTGGGGGGCAGATTGAGACCCCTGTGGTGGAAGAGGGAGTGGGGCTGGGGCAGGAGCAGGGGCAGGTGTTGCACAGCCAGGGCAGATTGCAGGATGGAGTCATGAGCAGCTCATCCAAGGGGGTGTGGCTCCTGCCACTATGAGCACCCTGGGAGGGTATGGGGGGCATGTGCCTCCTGATTTGTGCATGGGGCGAAGGTGGGCTGCCACTATGGGCTGTGGCAGTGCTGAGCTATTCCCAGTGGGGGACTGGGTCAGATTGTGCTCAGGGCAGGTGGTGGTGGCACTGGGAGCAGGACTACAGGGAGGGCTGCAGCCACCCCAAAATTAGCCGTAGTCCCCTTCCCAGTGCCATTGCTGCCTGCCCTGTGTGCAGCCCTGATCCCATACTCCACTGGGAAGAGTCTGGCAGCACCCCTGGCCACAGCCCTCATCGGCAGCCCACCCTTGCTCTGCATGCAGATCCAGGGGCACATGCCCCCCATGCCCTCCTGGGGTGCACCAGCAGTGGGAGCTGCCACCCCCTCCCTATGCCCCCCTGGATAGCTTCATTCTGCACCCTGCCCTGGCAGTCCAGCACCTGCCCCAGCCCCAGCTCCACTCCTTCCCTCACCACTGGGGCCTCAATCTACTCCCCACCCCCATGCCTCTTCCCTGACAACAGACTTACCAGCTGGACCCGGCTGCTATCCATGTTGCTGGGCTGCGCTCCTGACTGCCTGCTTGCTGCACTGCGGCTACGCACATACACAGGGCATTTATCAGTGAAATGATCAGTGACATTAGCCAAAAAAAGCCAATGGCCAGTACTGTCAATTTTCCTTGTATTGGTGCCAATCCAATATGGGATTGATGTATTGGTACACCTCTAGTCATTCATTGTACTTTTCAACCTGTTCACAATATCAATCTCTTGGATTGCTTTCAGATGTTGATTCTAGTAACTCCCGGCCAATCTGGGAGGCTTGGCAACCCTACCCCGCAGGCAGAATTCTCCTGACTGGCTGCAGGTATGCCCTTTCATTCTAATGGGCAGCTCCCTGCCTAGGCAGCAGTATTTTTTTGCTGTCTTCCTTCTTACGGCTGTCCTTTGCTTATCTGTCTCAGTTCTATCTGCTGCCATTTCTCTCCTTAAAGTAACAAGAGCCCCAGGCTCCCAGTTACACACCCATTGACTTCAGTAGATGGTAGATGCACCAGGCCGTGTGTGCCTTACATGAATGACATGGAAAAGATACTAGAGGGAATGCAAAGAAAACTGGGACTTTTTTAAATCCAGGAAACATAATACCTTGTGATGCTTCTAAATTTGTTTTGAATATGCTGTCCTCATTAAACTCCTAAGTTCAGTTGATCAGTTATATTTGCACAGTAATGTAGATCTTGGTTCTTATGTAATATTATGATAATGAGCCATATCATATTGTGATGTTTTAAGTATCTGTATACACGATAATAATAACAATTACTTTCTTTTATTAGACTCTGGTGCTTGTGGTATTCTGTTAAATTCTAATAATTTTTAGAACTATGAGAAATTTCTAGGAACATTAGAGATACTCACTGGGATCTGCCCGACGGAGGTTTCTTATTCGTATGACTCTTACAGTGAGCAAGCAGCAAGGAGATGATAACATCTGTAGAAGAATAACATGCAATGAGGAGAGCGAACCTTAAAGACAACACAAATACTTACCATAAAACAGGCAACCTAATCGACTATTTCATACTAATAAAATATTCAATAAAATGGCGATCACCTAATCATTTTCTAGATTTAAACCCGAAACAATGCAATGTTATAAGGAAAGTCAGAAAATTGGAATATGATTATAAAGGTATTAATTTCTTCACTGTTAACAAAAGTCCAACTGTTTTTCTTTGAGGAAAATTGTCTACTTAGCAGTCAAGGTTTTTTTCTTGCAGTTTGTCAGGGAAAGAAAGAAAAATTGCATATGTGGGGTTTTTTGCTCGGTTGTTTTTACAGGTGATAAGGTTAATTCTAGGAAAACCAGATATCATCAGTCTGGTACACAGTACTGGTCATCTTAGCTTAGAGGAGTAATATGAATGACAGCTGTCCTCTGCAGACCTCTTTCTAAAGTGGTGGACCCTCCTAGAGGGCAAAATTGAAACCCTGGTCATTAGGCTGCCTCCAACCTCAAGTAGGATTATCTGTGGTTTGACATACCCCTCATATTACTAATTATGATGCATATATTCCTTTTGAAGTGATTTATTCTAACTGCACTATACAGCTTAACATGGTGATTTCCACATTCAAAGATTTATGAAAACTTTCCTTCAGTTTTGATTCACATAGGTTTACAGTCCTTGAGCTTCTCTGATTTTGAGATTCAAACAAATCCAAGAAGCTGGCTAAAGTATCACACATTGAGCTCTGTGCAGCCTCACCCGGACTGCTTCAGATACCTAAACTGGCTGAAGATTGCAACATACACATACTTCAAAAATATTTCAAATACATGCATCCATTCCCCTTCATTAGTAGAGTATAACATGATTTCCTTCTAAAGAATGGAATTTCCTTTTGATTGATTCTAAAATGTTGCATCCAGCCCAGTCACATTGGCAAAATGCTACCCTGACAAAGCCAGTAAGTCAGCATTTCCTGTGATCAAGACATAGGGTCATAAGCCTTGCTGAGGAAGCTCCCTTTCCACATATCTATGCAAACATTTCCTCCCATGATGACCAATTACACCAGAATCCTAAACCATCATTATTTTTACAGAGCTGTTAAGTTTATGAGCTGATTTCATCTCAATTAAGAGTGTCCATTCACTTCAAAAACACTCCAGAAATAACAATGGAATGACTGCAAACATGCAGGCAAAGGCATTTGCAGACAGAGAGGCTGGAGGAATCTCAATCAACATGTGTGTCAATAAATGATCCTGGCTGGATTTTCTGTGACTTCCTGTTACTGCATGAAACTGATGCTTTAGCAATATCCCACAAATGTGATTATTTCTCCTTCAAATTAGCATTAATGACTAAACTATTAAAAGCATCTACAGATTATTTATACACAAATATAAAATGTGCACAGTGCACTGTTTCTGAGCAATTAATTGATGTAAATACAAGCAGTACAGCAACTATAGGCAGGCAAGGTTCTTTGGGTAGATGTAATAACTTCTATTAGACCAACTGACTAGTTGAAGAAAAGTTCTTTGCAAGCTTTCAGGCACAAACACCTATCTTCAGGCATAGGGATTCTCTGCTGTTCTGAGTTCTCCGAGGAATGAAAGAAGTTAAAAGTGTGACAGGAGGTCAGTGAGAATGTAAATAGGTGGAAATAAGAAAAACAACGGGTAGAGAAGGGATGGGAGGGGGAAATAATGTCAAAGATAAGCAAGAGAGACTGCTGTAGTTGAGTTCTCCATGGTAGAAGAGAGGCAGTCTGAGAAAAAGTAAACAGCTGGAAATTGGGAAGACAAAGGGTAGAGGAGGGCTGGGGAGGAGGGTGGGGAGGGAAGTGTAAATGGTAAGGTCAGGCAGGTTATAATGTGTCATAAAGCAAACATCTATATTAAGCCCATGATTTTTTGTATCCAATATATTTATGACGTGAAGTTCATAGGTTTTCCTATGAAAAGATATCACATCTACCCAAAGGCCTTGCCTGTTTATGTCCATAGACCAACATCGCTACAACCAAAAACTGTACAGCAACTAAGGTAGCCAACAATAACAGGTAGTAATCCTATTACTTAAATAAATCTTCCTATTTAGATCCACCAAGATAAATAATTGGGCAAATAAATGAGCCTTACAATATACTGGGGAGACTGACTATTTAAATGGTTGCATGTACATGAAAACTCCATAGGTCAAATAATAATAGTCCTTTTACAGCATCTGATGTGTCAGAGCGTTACCACCCACCACCCCATGCCGCTGCCACCTCCCAGGAATGGGGTGGGAGGAAGCTTGTACATGGCAGCCGCCGCTACCACTCACCACCCCACACTGCCACCACTCTGCATCCGGCCACGTGCCACTCCCCCCTGTCCCACATCTGGCCCCATGCCACACTCCCCACCCCCATGCTCCGTGTCTGCCTGGCCTGCTCTACTGAAGCCATGCCACACTTGTCATTCTTGATGGGCATTCTCAACACAGCACTGACTGGAGCCATGCCCTTCCAGGAGCCATGCCCCACAAGAGCATTACGGGCAGACACACAGACAGACATAGAGATAGACACACAGACAGACGGACTAAGCCATATATATATATATATATATAATTGGGTAAATAGATGACCCTTACAGTATGCTGGGGAGGCTAACTATTTAAATCGGTTGCATGTACATGAAAACTGATGAAGTAAAGTCAATATAAGAAAAAAACACACACATACACAATCCACACACTTTGATTAGTCTATAAGGTGTCAATTTACCCTGCCTTCTACTTGACTTCAGTCTAAATTGCCAATTTTGCACCATGGCTTCTCACCCAGAGAACAGCACCACATTGACTTGCTAACAGATCTCAGCACCTTCGGGCAGTGCCACTGTATCCAATTTGGTGTAGTCTTCCAACAGTTCTCCTGATACTCAGAGGATCCGTTGACATCTAGAACCCATGTCTAGGGACATTTTTGCTTCTTCCCAGATGGTTGCAAATACTGATAAGAAAATGGAAGAACCCAGAGATCCATTCTTCTTTGTACCTTCAGTGAAATTGTTGCTCCAATTTAACTTAGAGGACACAGAAGGCTTCCAAGTTTTCATTAAGAGTGTTGAATACATACTATGTAAATTTTCCTCCAAAAACTAGTAAATTTGCTAGATACCTTATGCATGGTATGTTTACTTCTGTCTCCTCTATGCCTCCACTACGTCATACACATATGAAGGCATAGGAGATCTTGTCAGCTCTTGCCACCAGAACTATTGATACATTGAGAAACTTGGATTTGCATAGCCTGCAAATAATCTCACAGAAAGTCACTGATCATTAACAGTGGCTATTATTATATGTAGACAATAAAATAAAACTTTGTATTCTAATCACGCCGGTACTCACTGATCAGAAAAAATTGAAATAATGGTATAGTTTACTCTCTTCAATTCCTGTTACTTACAAAATGGCCAAGATTTGTCATCATCTTGGTTTTCTGGAACTTTCAGCAAACCCTGTATAAGAGCCATGATTCAAATTCATTCTCTGGATCACTGCAGAGTGGATCCAATTGTAGCCTGTTTCATCAGCCATCTGTTACTGTCTCTTCTTAGCCCTCATTTGCTTCACCGCCACATTTTCTTAGAGTATGTTATTATATGCAGATGCAGCAAATATTGATTTCCACATAGGGTTTCTAAAGTAGAACCTTCAAGTCAATTTACATGATCTTACAGGGTTTAGTTGGTTGCTTTTTCCATTGAAGAGTGTTCTGTCTCTCCTTATGTATGCTGTCCTTTTTTGATAGAGTGGTAGTTAGCCTTCTTAGTCTGAAGGTAGGTAGGTGGTAGGGCAGTCTGGCACCTTAAACTAACTCATTCAGAAAGTCATGAGTTTTTGTAGGCTACAGCTTATTTTTTCAGGTATTTAACACTGCCTTGCCTTATGCCTTTCTTGAGATGTAAGGCAGGAAACTAACCAGTCCTTGACATTTGCGTAGTTATGTCCAGCCAGAAACATCTATCAGATACTTGGCTTAGTGCTTTTTCATACCAGGGCTGCCCGCTACTTTCATTTCATGAGGATGTTCCTGTACAGTTCATCACAACGTTTTCTGGCAAGATAATTCTGTTATCTCACATTACAGGCTGGTAGCAGGATCAACAGTTAATCATTGCTGAATTACATTTATCCTTCCCAGTCCAAATTTCCTTCAGTAGAGCTGTTTATACATCAGAGCGAAGCTGGTGTCCACAGACCGCTCTTGCCTGATGTCATCACAAGCCTAAGTCACAGTTTATTGTGCCACTGGGCTCACCTGGCTCAGAGTACCTACAAGCATAGTTTGCTTTACAGAGTTATAAAGAACTAGGAATGCATATGTGAGTATTTTATAAACCCATCTCCTCAGATATTTGTCTGTGTTGTGCTTTGTAAGACGATACTGCACGACACTGATTTGTATATATCTAAATTCTGTACCTTATAAATATATATGAGAGGTCTTGAGGGCCTCCACATTAGTGAGATGCACCAGTTCTGTAGCCAAGCGCTCATTTAATTTATGGTTTGCTCCTACTGATTTCATTAGTTTGTTTAAGTGCAACACTCAACACACACCTCTGAAGGCATAGAACGATACCACAAAAGATCAGGACTTTGAGCACAGAATGATTCAGATGTCCTTTCTTCAATTATTCAGATACATTTTGCTATTCCTGGGTCTAAAGAACAATGCTTTTAGCTGATCTAGTGGCACTGACTATTATGTAAAAATGTCTATGAATCTCTCGTAGAAAATGCAGTGACCTATCAATGTCTATACTCCTTTCAGGTTTGTAGGGACATCCTAGCCCTTTAACATTCAGTTTGTGACTTAAACTCTGATGCATCTTCATTGATTCTACGTCCCAGGATACAGCTCCCAAAGTGATATTTGTTTCCTGCAAGTTTAAGCTCTGACTCCTTGAAAATCTTTAAA